TGGACACTGGGCCCAGCCTCTATAGCCATTCATTTTGCATCAGTACATGTAAGAGTTCTCTTGCTTCTTGGCATTTGTCATTTATCATGGTTACTATAACTCCGTTTACTAATTCCCTAATCAGTGGGTGTCTACTTTGTTTCTGGTTCTTTGCTGCTTTACTTTGGGAGCTTTTAAAAATCATCATCCTTGGGGTATGTAACTAGCGCTGGAGTTCTGGGTCAAAGGCCATGTCTTATCAGATCCTTGTAAGATAAGGGACTTTCTCCACTCTACTGGAGACTTGCCTCTAGCCAGTATCAGGTGATCTGTTCTCTAATCAGAGGCGCCAAAATGAGATTTTCAGTTCGATTCAGTAGCTCAGGTTTATAATCTAGCTGTTGTGGATTTGTGCCTGAGCTGTTTCAGATAAAGGACTTGTCTAGGAGTAGCCTTAATCGGTATTAACTTGAACCCCAACACTTGATTTATTGTTTCAAGTTTCTAGAACAAACAGACTGTATCGTGCTTTGCCTTTTATGGAAGCATAATCTTATTCATCAGTTCTAGTCAATTAGCTACTGACTCATCAAGTATAAGGGCTTCAGGGCATCCTGGTGGGCAGCCAGGCTAAGCACCAGGTCATTCTATAGATGGGGAACCTCCCAGTCAGAGAGGCTCCAGTGATTTGCCTGCTCAAAACCAATAAGTGTCTGAGCCAGGACTAGAACCCAGGTTTCTAACCCCTCTTTCACATTTGGCTAAGTGTTTGATCTATTAACAGATCTGAGAAGCAGAATCAGACTAATACTAGGAGACAAATGCAAGAGAGATGTTAGAGAGGCAGAAACGCCAAGATTTGACATTTGCTTAGAGGTGAAATGTCACACTTTTTCACTTTGTGATTCAATGGCCATCTCTCAGCTGTTGAGGCTCACATCTATCCATCCAGCCCAAACCTCTCTGCTGACTTCCAGGCTTGCATCTCCAGCTGCCTGTTAGACATCTCAAGAAAGATGTCCAGAAGGCATCTAAACGCAACCTGTCCCAACTGAACCCAGTCTATTTCCCCTCTAGCCCAACTCCCTTCCATTGAGGAAAACACCATTCTTTTACTGCCCTGGGATCAAAACCTAGGATTCATCCTCAACTCGTTACTCTCATACCCCCCGTGTTCAATCTGTTGCCAAGGCCAGTTGATTTTACCTTCCTGACTTTGCCTCTTATGCTCAGACACTGCCAGGTCCCCCTCCCCTTATTCTTGGACTGTTGCAATTGCAATATGTTAACCACCATTTGGGCACTCACAGCATCAGGTGGTGGGCTCTGACTAGGGCAGCGGCCTAACCCTTACCAGCAATTGCAACAGTCCAAGAATAAGGTGAGGGGGACCTGGCAGTGTCACAGCATAAGTAAAGAAAAGCAAGACAGTGCTTGTCCTCAAAGAGTTCACAGTTTATTGGAGAGGAAAGAAGCATGCAAAGAGCTATGAACAAAGAAGCCATATACAGGATATATTGGAAATAACAGAGACAGCACTAGAATTCAGAGAGATTAAGAACAGAGAGGAACGGAAGAGCACTCCAGCCTGGGACGGCCGGTGAAAGCTGGAGAGTGGGGAATACCTTGTACAAGGAATGGCCAGGGGGCCAGTGTTACTGGATGGAAGAGTATAGGTTTGGGGAGGAAGGTGTAAGAAGACTGGAAAAGGGTAGGAGGGGCCTGGGTTACAAAGGGTTTTGAGGATTTTATATTGGGCCCTGGAGGTAACAGTGAGCCACTGGAGTTTTTTAGTAGGAGAGTGATGACGTGATCCAGACCTGTAAAATCACAAGTGGTTGAATGGAGGATGGATTGGAGTGGGGAGAGACTTGAGGCAGGCCAACCCACTAGTAGGTTATTGCAGTAATCAAGATGTTAGGTGACGAGGAATCTTTTTTTAAAGTCTTAATATGAGCTTGTGAGAGATTGCATTATAAACCTTGTATGTGTATGTGTGTTAATTAGCCGCGTTGCGTTTGCTCCTTTATGGATGACCCTTGGGGAAGCACGTGTGTGTGGTGTCTTAGGTGCTGAGCGGTGCGGATGAGAAGAGAGGAGACAGCCTGAAGGGAAGGGAGCTTCCTCCCTTCCCTTCTCCTGTTTGGTGGAGCGCCTTTGATGTAGCATGCTTTGGTTTTAAAAGGCATTAAGTATGTCATCTGTTATTTTTTAGATCTTAAGGAGTTTCTTCCTTTCTCTCCTACAGACCATTTCCTTTGTCCCCAGAATCCAGTGCTTGGATGATTTTCTCTGTACAGATAGTGGGGTACTTTCACTTGGGAGAGCTTTAAACATTTAACCTGTAAGTCCTTGTAGAGCCAGGCCACTGTGTAAGGAATGTCTGCCTTAAATATTTTATAGTAACCTTATCCTGTTCTTCACCACTTCCATCTAAGGGATGGAAATGAGCTACTTAGGGGGATGTAAGTGAGGAGGCACATAAAATTGCCATTTTCTGGGGCTTTGCCTGTTGCTCAGATATCCTTGGTTACCCCTTCTTTGGGTGCCCTGTCTCGGCAGCCCTTAAAGCCTAGCGCCCAAAACAGCTCAAGACTCCAGATACAATCTGTCATTCCAAGGAGGAGTAGGGCTTCCAGCTCTCTTGAATATAGCCCTCCCTACCTCATCAGATCTTCCTTGGACCACTTAACGTGTACACCGCATAGCTCTCCCTTGCACAGATTTCTGTTCAGAGCTGGGACTAATTTTAAAGTAGCAGATAGTAATCTTATTGAGATAAAAAGTTTTTTCTGGACAAACATGGGAACTACTTGTCATTTTATAATATTTCTATGAGAGTATATTCTGAATGTGGAGCTGCCGATGTGTAAAACAAACCATTTGGAAAACACCCTCTTCCTAAATGCGAGAGTAGCTGCCTTTCTGTTCCTTTCTTTTTCTTGGCTCTTCTCCCCCAACAATCAAAGAAGCTGTAAGCCAAAGTAATCATAAACTTAAGGAGGGGGGTGCTGTAAGTAGCAGGTTATGATCGGAGGAGACATTAAATGAATAATGGAAACAATTTGAAAATTCATTAAATATCTCCAATCATTAGTAATCTAGTCTTACATCATCCTCAAACTAGCCATGATTGTTTGGCTAATTAGTCCATGAACCTACCACTTGTGACTTATTCTGTTTTCTTTGAGAAGACGTAAGCTGAGGGGTGGCGGGGTGGGCGGGGGTGGGGAGGTGGGGGGGGTGGGGGGGATGGAGATGGACAAAAGAGACGCGAGCCAGTTTGACATTCAAAACTCTTCAGAACCTGGCCCCCTTCTGCATTTCTGATCATCTTACACTCCCCAGCCTACTCTGATTCAGTGACCTTAGCCTCTGCTGTTCCTCATGAAAGATATTCTCTTCCCAGGCTCCTGTGCATTTTCACTGGCTGTCCTCCATGCCTGGAATTCTGTCCCTCATCTCTGACTCCTGGCTTCCCTAAGTCTCAGCTCAAGTCTGACTTTCTGCAAGAAACCTTTCTTGATCCCCCTTAATAGGGTTGTTCTTTAGTTCTATCATGTCTAACTCTTTGTGACTCCATTTGAGGTTTTCTTGGCAAAGATACGGGAGTGGTTTGTTATTTCCTTCTCCAGCTCATTTTACAGATGAGGAAACTGAGGCCAGCAGAGTTAAATGACTTGCCCAGGGTCACAGAGCTAGTAAGTGTCAGAGGTCGGATTTGAACTCAGTTCTTCCTGACTCCAGGCCCAGCATTCTCTCTGCTGTGCCACCTTCCTGCCCTAAATGCTGTACGTAACCATATCAATATAAAAATTGAGTGACACGAGAACTTTTTAAACCTTAAATTAGTGAAACTTTAGTCCCAGGTCGGCCTAAAATTAAGATGAGGCTACGGAAACCCAAGTTCAAAGCGTGCTTATGGCCTTAAGAAAAACATTTAAAAATTGACAGTGGATTTTGCTGTTAGGATTTTCTGCAGTTAATAAGAATGGCTTCTGACAAATCTCCAAAGCAAAATTTTTATGGGCCCAGCCCTTCATATTTAGGAGCGATGCCTGAAAACCTCCATTTCACATTTTCCTCTTAACCCCTTTTACAGTCTCTGCACATTGGGGAGCTTCAGTGTTCAAAAGCCTTCTGAGTTACAATCATCTTCAGCTTCTGCAGGAAAACAGAACATATTTGTCCATTTGTTTATTGTTATGGGCAATAGATCGCAGAGAAGCTGTTCAAAGTGTGACTTGTCTCCAATTTCTCACTTGAGCATCTGGCTCGTCTTCCTGGTCTGCAGAGCTTCAGGTGCCTCTTCCAGTGACTCTGGCTGGGTGAGCGGCGAGTGGGTGTGTGACATGCGTGAGCATGGCCGCCAGTGGAGGTCTAGCCTCCAGCCTGCCCCTTGCAGCTTCCCTTTTCCTGGTTTCCAATAAGAAAGCTCCGCTGGTTTGCCCTTGTGCCAAGGGATCGGCTTTATCCCTTAGATATTCTTGAACCCTCTGGCTTCTGGGTTTAGTACGGTGATGACTGGTGCTGTTTTAGAGCAGGAAAAGAAATCGCTATCGGGAGAATGCTTAAGCCTTTCATGGGATTTCTTACGACAAGATCATCAATTTAGAGCCGCAAAGTTCTTGCAGAGCTCTCGAATCTAACACTCATTCTGCACATAAAGCGCCTAAGACGCAGAGCATTGAAGGGACTTGCCCAGGGTCAGGGAGTTTAGCAGATATATCTGAGGCAGGATTTGAATCCGAATCTTCCAAGTTCAGTGATCTGTCTGTTAGACCCGGCCTTTCAAGACTTAAAACTAAGGGTTAGTTAGCACTGCATGCCTCGGATAGGCCACGGACTATATTGTAGGCCGAAGAGGGACACTCGATCAAGTTGAAGCTAGGTAAGCATTTTGGTAATGGCCTAGGAAGTCATTGCCAGTCCTGGGCTGCTTCTACCAAGGAAATGCTGGGAATCAGTCCCCTGATGAATGAACTCTTGTGATTAAACAGTCTTGTATGTATCTTTTTCAGCTCTGGCTGACCCTGTGTTCAAAAAGGAATGCGCGAAGGGTCCCGAGGTCTGGTGTCGGGATTTGAAGACAGCATCTGAGTGTGGGGCTGTCCAGCACTGCCGGCAGGTTGTTTGGAGCAGGCCTACCGTGGTGAGTGTTTGCTCAGCCTTAACTCTTTTGGAATTCCAAGAATGCTTTCTGGAGTAATCAGGTTACTTATATTATGCAGATGTAAATCCCAGGGCAAAGTAGCTTCCAGGTTTAAATTGTGTCTCTAGTAGGAGACAGGGGGAGGGGCGGCAGCAGCGGCGGAGGAAGATCCTTCTTTATTATCAGGAGTTGTCATTTGATAGCTGTCAAATGATATCAGTGCAGAATTTTCTCAATTGCTGTGGAAATATTCTGTTTGCAGAAACTTGCATCACTGCAAACTTCATGACCTTGGCAGACGTGCCTAAGTTTCATGGATTCTTTGCTGGTACGAAACAGGTTTATGCTCTTGACCTACCCATCCCTTTTTGGTACAAATGGGGATTGCCAGGATCATACCAACTCTTTGCTACACAATAATAAGCAAAGTTAATTTAAGAAGTAATCATTTTCAAATTTAATTTGTAATCTGCTTTTGGTCTTGGACTTAATAGTGTTCCCTCTTTGCACCTTTGTGTGATACAAGGAGTGTGGCCTTCATTAGGATGTCTTTGGGTCAGTTGGCTAGTCTGCTTGTGTTGAGAGAATCTAGGATTGCATCGATCTAGAACTGGGGGACCTTAGAGGTTACTAATTCATTTTAGAAATAATGAAGCTGAGATGCTGTGAGGAGTGACTTGTCCAACATGACAGGGCGGTGTAGAACCTGAGTTGGAACATCTGTGGAGCCAGTGGGCTTTCCACCCCATCAGCTCCTTCCCTGTTCTTTTTGGGCCCAGAGCCAAACTTTGTTCCTACAGAGATTCTTTTGAGGACATAGGGTGCCACACTTAACTACAGTCTAATCTAGGCAGGCATTCTTTTCTTTAACAAAAACTGTCATCTGGGGTAGAAGGGAAATTCTGGGACAAGAGGCAGGAAAGGGGCATTGAAGCCAGCTCTTTTTGCAACCCTGCCTTCTCCATTTTCTGGGCACAGAATCCTGATTTCCCCAATTCTTCTAAGAAAATAACTTCTGCCCAAAAAAATCTCCCCTGAATGGCTTTGTCTAGGAAGTTTCCTAGTCTTGCTTCCCCCAGACTCTTAGCCCACAAGAGGGGATTTCTGAGCCTGCATTGACTGTGGCTTTTTGTTTCCTTTGGACACCAAGGATCGGTTGCTACGGCCTCATTTCTACAGGAACAGACAGTGGTCAAACACTCTTGAGCCGGTAGGCTAGCCCATCTTACCCACCTTTTGGGGTCCTGGGTGACTTTTGAGTCTGGAAACTGCTGAGTTCATCAAATAATGCCATGCAAGTTATAATCCCCAGACAAAAATCCTAGGTGTTAGACAGCTTCATTTGGTTCAGATTTTCCATCTGTGTGATCCAGATCATGGTAGATGTGCTTTACTGACTCCATGGTCATTCTTTCTCTCCCTCTTTTCTCAAGATACTAAGAAGCTGCCTCAGAATTTTCCTTCTGAACTCCTACTCTTATGTTCTAGCCATTCTAGGTCTTAGAACGTAGGCCCCTTTTGTTAAGGGGATTTGTTCTGTGAAGTTTGGATTCAGTCAGAGGACTGCACTTGGACCTAGAGGGCCACCTGGAGGTTCCCTACCCTGGGCATGTCACCATATGGATGTTCTCTCAACCCTAAACCCCCCACCCCCAACCCCAGCCCCTCAATCTCATGGCCTCCTTCCTTCTGCCATTCACAGGGATGATCACACATGCCCCGGCATTCCTCTGTCTGATCATAATTTTCTCCTTATTGCCTTATCCCTTTTAAATCTGTGCTTTGCCATCATCTTGACTCCAGTCTGTGACTCTTCAGTCCCTTTTTTTTTTTTTTTTTTTGGTGAGGGCAGTTGGGGTTAAGTGACTTGCCCAGGGTCAACAGCTAGTGAGTGTTATGTGTCTGAGGCTCAATGTGAACTCAGGTCCTCCTGACTCCAGGGCTGGTGTTCTATCCACTGCCCACCTAGCTGCCCCCCTGCAGTCCCTTCTTGAACCATTCCTCCTGCTCTGACTTCTTTTTTTTCCCTTTTACAGTCTGAAACCAATTAGCCAATTCAAGTCCATCTTGTTCTCTACTCTGGATCCCTCCTGCCCTTGTTTGCCCGTCACTGGTCATCCCTTGCCAGTCCCCAGCCTTGTGTTACTCCCACCATTTGCCCCCAACCCTTCCCTCTCAATCCTTTCCCTTGCTGTCAGAGAGAGCTGGAGGAAGTAACAAAGCCGTGCTAACTGGGCACCAGGAGGCAAGTCCTCCTTAATTTAGTCTCTGAAGAAAGTATTCCAAACCTTATTTTCCACTGCAGCTTGCCCCCAGGCTCTGTGCAAAGGCCAGCCAGCCCCTGAGGTGTGCTTTTGCTCCCATCCTCTCTGATTTCTCTGGTGGCTGTCCTCCCATTCCTCTACTTCCCTCCCACTCCCCATTTTCACTTTCATTTCATGCCTTCAAACATGCCCTAGTTTACTCAAGATAATGTCCTAAATCTCTCCTCCCTTCTCAGCCAGATTCTTGGGAGAAGCTGTTTTATCAGCTTCCATTTCCTTCCACTCCTTAGCCCTTTGAAATCTGACTCAAATTGAAACTGCCCTCTGCCTCTGTCCCAGTAGACTGCCCTTTTCTTCGTGGAGAATCTCTGCTCTCTGGACTTCCATGACACTCTAGCCACTGCTCTTGATTGTCTAACTGCAGTCTAATTGCTATATATCTGCCTTTACTTTGCTGGCTCATCATCCATTTTATGGCATCTGAGTGGATTTTCCCTGGGCCCTCATCTCTTTTTTTCCCTTCTAAGCTGCTTTTTAATTAAATTTATCTAAATCACGGGATCTCAAAATTGGGAGGGATTTCAGATACTAATCTAGTCCACCTCTTTGTGAACAACAGTCCCTTTTCCAACAAGCCCAACGAGTCCTTGAGCCTCTGGGGAAGGGCCTTGGCAGTCTGTTCTACTTTGGGCTAGCTCTCCTTCTTAGGAAGATTTTCATCGTCACACCCAGATTTGCTTTTCTTCCTCTTCTAATCCTGGGTCCTAACCTTGTGGATCCAAACAGAAATTCAATTCCAATTCCTTTTCCAAACAGTTTCACATAAATATCATAACCTGCTCTTTGAAAAGCTCAATCCTTTCAATCCCTTAAACACAAATTGAGTAAGTCAGTCGATAAACATTTAATAACAGTTTAATAAAACACCTGCCATGTACCAGGCACTGGTGCCTGCTGGGTGCCTCTTATCTTTATACACTATTAGGGATTCACTATGCAGATGATTCACAGACAGATCTATCCATCTCTCGTCTGTCCCCTGAGCTTCTCCTATTACCACCTGTCTATTAGACACTTCAAACCAAATGTCCCGGAGACTCAACATGTCTAAACTTATTTCTATTCTTCCCAGGTCTTGTAGCCTCAGCATCGACCCCCATTTCTTGCTTTACATGTTTGGTCAGTTGCTAGATGTTGCCAGTTCTGTCTCTGTGTTAGGTGTTATTTTACAGATGAAGAAACAAAGCTAGAGAGAGAAAGAGATGAAGTGTTTTTAATGTAATGTGGGCTATGGTTTGTGAGGTGGTGTTGTCTGGTACGGGGATGTTGTCTTCACTTTAGATAATTGTGGAAAATGTAACAGATACTCTGAATATATAGAACAGAGTTGTGACAGTGTTTATAGGGAAAGGCAGCTCAGAAAGAGTTTAGGTAGTCACATCAAGATTCTAGCATTCACTTTTGCATTTTACAGCCCTTCACTAGAATCAATCTCTGCTTTCTCTTTCAGAAATCTCTCCCCTGTGAAGCCTGTAAGCAGGTGGTTACATTAGTTGAGAACCTTTTGAAACAAAATGGCACCGAGGTAAGCTGGCTGTTGCTGTCATGGGTAGGGGGTCATGTGTTGGAGAAATGGGTGAGAGCTAAGTGAGGTCTCATTGGTTCTTTTAAGTAACTTTACCAGGCAATGAAAGCATCTTACCAAGCAGATTCCTGTCCCTCCCCCCTTGCCCTGTCCCCCAAGGTGACTCTAAGTGACTTTTTCCCCCTCAGCAGCTAAAGGGAACCGAGAAGCAATATTTGAGAGAATTCATAATGCTGACATTGGCTCCTCTTGACATACTTCTGCTTGGTGGTGTTTGTGCTCATGAGACAGAAGGAGGGATTGATTGAAGACTGGGGAGGCAGGCTTAGGCTCCAGCCTGAGGGACCGGCCTTACTGGGAGTTCTTCCCTCCACCCACCCAGTCCTGATGGGGACTGATAGTGACTTGTATTTGCTGTCTCTGGGCTGTTCCCCTACGGTTTAGCCCTTCAGTATGCTGTTCTCTGGGGAAGACCAGAGCTCATCACCTATCTACCCACAGCTGAAGGAATCCCCCACTAGAATTTTTTCTCTTTTGAACAGTTCGGGTAGGAGCCCATCTCAGGCCTTAATGGTTTGCTTGTGACTTCTCATCCTAGGCTGAAATTGAGGGTTACCTGGAGAAGGAGTGTGAGATGCTTCCTCAAGAGGATTGGGTATCTAAATGCAAGGAGATAATGGCGTCCTACCTACCAGTCATCATCAATGCACTTGAAGGGGAAATGGTAAGATGACTGGGGTTGGGGTAGGTCAGTCAGGCTCTTGGTTTCCAGGACAATGATCTTCTGACATTCCTTAGGTAGAAGATTAGAGCAGGCCAGAGCCCTGCAACAGAAAGAGATCCAGTTTTCAGGTTCAGTCAGTCATTCACCAAGCAGTAACCATTTACTATGCGTCAGGCAGGGCGGCGGAGAGGGCTCCGGGCTTAGGGTCAGCCAGACTCCTGTTCATGAATTCAGAGGGCTCTTACTAGTGTGACCCTGGGCCGTTCACTTCACCCTGTCTGCCTCAACTTCTTCATCTGTAAAATGAACTGGAGAAGGAAATGGCCAGCCACTCCAATATTTTTGCCAGGAAAACCCCAAATGGGGTCACAAAGGACTAAACCACAACAAAAATGCTTCAGCCAGCCATTGTTGAAGCCTTGGGGCTGCAGAGATAAAAGTGAATCCCTGCCCTTGGGAGCTTACATTCTAAGAATGTGTGAGGCCTGGGAGCAAGGCCAGGGCAGCAGGCACATAGCCGAGGGCATCACGTAGAACGTGGCCCTTGGACTGGTCGTTGGAGGAAGCCAGGGCTTCCAAGAGACAGAAGGGAGCCAAAGAAGAACGGTGTATGGCCATCAGAGGCACTGAGCCAGTAGGCCTGTATGACTGGACCATGGAGTCACAGAGGGTGGGCAGAGAGGGACAGACAGGGTTTCATGGGTGAATCCTCTAGGGGGCAGTGTTTGGCACCCCATGGCCCTTGGGCTGCATCTGGCCCGTCCTATGCCCCACTGTTGCTTTTATGCCTCTTATGGCCTCTACATTGTTGTATTTAGAAATGTAGAGACCATCCTCAGCTCGTAGCGCTTGTGGTCTGCCAATCCTTGCATGGGAAGTAGGGAGCCACTGGCATCTGGGGTAGAGAGAGCATAGTCATGTCTGTACCTCAGGAACATCCCCTTGGTGGCTGTGTGAGAGGAGAGAAGGACGAAGCTGCTTAGGCGGGGATTGAAGGGTCAGTGGGGGATCAGGGACCCAAGGTGGCCTACTTTGGTCATGAGGACAGTGTGGCATCCAGTTCAGAGTATCTTAGGAGCATCTTGAGAGGTGATTCGATACAGAAGTCATCTGCAGGAGATAATTGAGCCCTTGGGAAGTGATGAGTGAGGGTGTAGAGAGAAGGGTCCAGGACAGAGCCTTGGGTGACTCTCCCTTACTTAGTGGGCATGATGTGGGGTGGGTGATGAGGCAGCCAAGGGCCCCGAGGAATGGTTAGACAAGTATGAGGACAGCCTGAACCCAGCATTGTCGCAAGAATCCAGAGGAAAGGGTGGCTGCAGGAGGCAGAGGGTGGGAAGAAACAGTATTAGGTGCTGCAGGGAGGTCAGCTGAGGGTTAACCAAGAGCCCATTGGAAATGAAGAGATCCTTGGTGACTCTGAGGGGGCCTTCGTTTGGTGGAGCTTGGAAGCTAGGCTGCAGAGGGTTGAGAAGCAAGTAAGGAGAGGCTGGGGTTGGGGGGGGAGAGGTGGGGGAGGGTCTTGGGGCCTGCCTCTGAAACTTCCTCCCAACTTATGGGCAGCTTGGCTTTGTGAGGTGGGGCAACAGGCCCAGATTTCAGTGCTCTGCTTGGTGGTGGCCTAGCTGGACTTCCTGCTTTTTTGTCTGCATCCCCAGGGCTTTGCACTTATAGATGTTTTTCATTCACTGTCTTATTTATTTTTTAGTAATTCATGAATGTTCTCTTGGCTTCCTTTCTTCTGTTAGTATTGCTATAACTCTTTCCCTCCTTTCTCCCCCAAAAAGTTAAATGAAAAGGCCTCTCTTATATCAGATAAGTACAGTCTTGCAAAACCTTCACATAATTTTCAGGAATTTAGCTGAAAAGAGGAGGAGAGATAGAGGAAGATGGTAGTTTCTAGTTTGGGTATGTTTTTAGGCAGAAAGAAGGAACACGTACATGCATACATACATGTAGACTAGTTTGCCACTGGAGTAAAGAAAGAAATGTGAGTGATGTTATTAAGGGATAGAGATTTGAGGAGGGGAAGAAGAGAGGGTTGGTAGAGTGTGAAGCAGGGCTCTTGTAGATGGGGGGTTGGCGCCATAGGAACCTTGAAGGGAAGCTGTGGTGACAAGCTAGGGTGTCTGTGGGGGGAGGGCTAGATGAGCCTTCCTGAGGCGAGGGCCCGCCACTAGACAGCCAGTTAGCGGGTAAACCCGGTAGAACGCTTGCCTGGCCTTCTCCATCTTGGATCCAAAGCCTGCACTGTGGGAGGAGGAGAGAGGAGGCTTGCTGGGAAGTCTGGGCCTCGTCAGGTATGAGCTGGGTAGGCTAGGGCAGCGAGGCATTCCAAAGGAGAGTCTGTTATGGAGTAGAACAGGTTTACCCAGCTCTCCCTCCCTAGCAACTTGTTGTGTGACCTTATTGCTTCATCTTTATGGATTTTTTACCCTAGAATTTTTGCACCTGATGAAATGTTCATCATAATTTGAATCTGATTTTTTCCCCCTGAAATGTAGAAAAATCTTCAGTCCTTACAGTGCCCAAAGATCCATCCTCCATCAGCATTTATAGGATTTCATCTATAGAATTTATAGAACACATGCCCACCTGGGCAGAAAGAAGAGCCAGCTGGGTGTGTGATCTTTGGCTTTGGTTTTGCCCCAGAAGATGTCTTGGGTGGTTTCCACGTGGGCAGGAGGTCAATTTTTGGAATGGTGGTATAGATTAAACCAAGAGACCAGTTCCAAGGAAATGGGGATGTTGTCTCAGACGACTTTGTCAGCAGAAGTAATTTCTGGTTTGCTTTCCTCTCCTGGTCAATTTTTAGAGCAATCCTGATGAGGTGTGTAGCGTCCTCATGTTTTGCCGGTCCCTTCAGAGACATCTGGCTACTCTGAGTCAGCATCAGCAGGAACTGGAATCCAACTCGATCTCGGAAGCGGGCATGTCTGATATGGTGGCTCCCTTCATGGCCAATGTCCCCCTCCTCCTTTACCCTCAGGGCAAGACCCAGAAGTCCTCTCAGCCAAAGGTAAGAAGGCCAGGCCATTCATGGTGATGCTTGCTGGGGAGGGGGGCTAAGTGAGGATGATGGGCACTCCATTGCATTGTCCGGCTTCCTGAAGAAGGCTCCTGCGTTCTGGCCTGTCTTCAAGTGGGATGAAGGCTTGTGTCCTGGGAGTTGAACATCCAGAGAACCGGTTTCTTTCCACCAGCTCAGATGAAAGGGATAGGGCCTCTCAACCATTACAAGTCGCCACCTTCTCAGCATCAGTCTCAGAGATGTGCCTGTGGCACGGAGAGGTTATGACTCAGCCAGGATGTATCCGGTCTTTCTGGCTGGCTCTGTCTACCATGACACACTGCCTCTTGTGAAACTTCTCATGGTTTTTAGCCTTTAGAGATTTTTCGATTCTGAATGCCCAACAGTTTGAGAATTAAGTTGCTTTTCATCATGGTGAAAGTATGGTTGGACAGAAGTATGGGATGGGTGAAGAAAACTAGGTGACAGCATCCTATTTCTCTCGGATGTCCATGCTGTTTTGATTGTTGATGGGGGTGGGAGACAGGGATGATGAGGACACTGAATTGTGTCCTTTCTTTCTTCAGGCTGGAGAGGATGTGTGCCAAGACTGTGTTCGGTTAGTGACAGATGTTCAGAATGCTGTGAAGACCAACTCCAGCTTCGTCGAGTCCTTAGTGGACCATCTCAAGGAAGAGTGTGATCGCCTTGGGCCTGGCATATCTGACATGGTATTCTCTTTAGCTTTTCCCAAAAGGAAGGTTTTCTAATCCAGAGTTTTTCCAAGGACCTGGAAATTCTAGTGCTTTGGTTACAATCTAAAGTTCTGTCTAAACTCAGGAATTTGTGTTGGTGGCCTTCCTGCCTTTTTTTTGAGGCTTTTAATGATGCAATTTCAAATGATCCAAGGGAAATAAACAGGGTAAGCTAGGTTGCATAGATAGCAAACCTTGGGGCAGGTTCGGGTAAGTTTATCTTGTCTAAGTCCTCTGGTTTAACAGCCAAGAGAGAGAATTTGGGTAGGCCCAAATCACACATAGAGGAGAGGATCATGCTAGAGAAGGCTGGAATGGGAGTTTGGGGCCAAGGGCCCTGAAATATTTGAAATTTGAAGACTTATTTAAAAATTAGGGACAAAAGAGGCATATAACAGATTTAACAAATTCCTACTTACGTGCACAGTGTTAGGTACAGAGATAAAACCATCTCTATCCTTAAGGAATTTTGATTCCTAGAAGGAATAAATACGTCTATAAAGTGATAATACAAAATAATCTGAGGAAGAGGGGAAAAGCGGGGCGGGGGCAGAAGGTGGGTAGAGGAGGAGAATCAGAATAGTCTTCCTGGCTGATCCTTGAAGGAAGATGAAGATTCTGAGAAATGGAATTGAGGAATGACTCTCGGTATGGCAGCTGGTCTGTGCAAAGGCATTGAGGCAGTAGATGGAGTGTTGAGTTCAGGGAATGTTCTTGATCCTTCTGGAATGCAGTATATGTGAGATGAGGCTGGAAAGGTAGGTTGGGACTGGATTGTGGAGGCCTTTAAATGCCAGCTCCTGGAGCCAAGAGGAAGCCACTGACGGCTTTTATTTGAATAAAAGGACAGCGAAGAGATGATGGATGGCCATTGGAGAGAATGGGTAGCAGGGCTCGATGAAGGTTTTTGTTCATAGAAGTGCTTGCTGGTAGATAGTTGTAGACAGTGGATAGGGAAAGTGTGAAGACTACCAAGCCAAAAAGATGGAAGAGGAGATGGGCCCGGGAGTATGAGCAGAGCCGTTGGGGTTGGCAAGGAGCTTAACTCCCTGTTCCTCACAAGATGGGCAAAGATGGAAGGGGTTTTGAGTGTGGTGTAGGTGGGAGGCCAGTGCGGCGGCCCTCAGGGCATGGAGAGGCTCTCTGTTGAGGAGCTGGAGTAGCTGGAGGGGTCTGAGGATGGGAGGTGGTGTAGGAGAGGTGCTGGAAGGACACAGGGTGGAAAACCAGTGAATGGCTGGCGGGGCAGCATTGTGCTCCTTGAATGGTGTTCATAAATACTGGAGGAGGAGAGCAGGTACAGAGAGAGAGAGAGGGAGAGAGAGAGAGAGAGAGTGTGTGTGTGGGGGGGGGGGGGGGGGGGGGGGAGGGGTCATTCCATGGTTGAACACTGGCAGTCCCGGACAAGAGAAGGGCAAAGCATCTGCCAAACTGATGTTTCCAGTAGCCATCCTTAGAATGAGCTCCCGTGTTTCTACTAAGGCCCAGCGGGATGGGAGCTCTTTAGGGCAGTCAGTTTTTATGTTATCTTTGTATGCCCAGAGGCCAGCTCCATTTTGGGAAGCTTAGATAGAGGAGCTGGCAAATGCTGGATTTGATACCTTGTTAGATTGGTAGTTATTCATCTTTAAATCAGACTTGACTTTTCTCTCTCCTCACCCACAGTGCAAGAACTATATCAGCCAGTATTCTGATATTGCTGTCCAAATGATGATGCACATGGTAAGTGGAGGGAAGAGCTTTCTGGTGTTGTCTTTTGACAAAGGTTTCCTCTTCAGCCAAAAGCCAAAAAATTCTTCAGACCTCTCAGTCTCAGACTTTCCCCTGCCACCTGTCGGGACTTAAATTTACTGGATTTTGGCAAAATTAACCATCTCTTAACTTACTAATTTGCTCCCCCCTTAGATTTTTCAGAATCTCTCTCCTTTACAAAGGAGGGGACATAGCTTCCCTGGTGGATTTGGCTCCTCTCCTGGGGTCTGTAAGTGCCCGTTAGCCTGACTGCCAGATTGCCATTCCCTGAGGGTCAGCCCCGAGATGCACCCCTCCATCTGCTTCAGAATCCCTGGATCCTTGAACTTGAGCCTCGCGCTGAAATGGAGGTGGGATGGGGCGGGGTGGAGCGGCCGTCATCCTGCTGTTCTGGGCTGGTTCACCAGGGTAACTGACATCAGGAACAGTGCTGCTTAAACCCAGATACGGCATGCTCACCTTGATTGTTCTGCCAAGGCTGTGGGAGGGAAAGGTTTCACCCTGGACTCCCAAAGGAACTTTGTATGGTGCTCAGTGCCAAGAGGGTGAAGGATGGACAGTGTCCTGTCCCTCATATGAGATGGGTTGTTCTAGTGGTAAGGATGGGTTTGTCTTGAGCCATCCATCCATCCATCCATCTGTCCATCCATCCACATTCCTTTTCCACATCCCCCCTTGTGATCAAAGACCCACTTTTCAGAGAATTAGGTAGGGGGTTAGGTCGGTGCCTATTAGAGATGGTTTTTTAAAGAACTTTGCAGAGACTGAATTAACACTTCTAGTATCATCCTGTAACTGGATGAACTCTACCTCACAGAGAGGAATGAATTTTTCTGATTAGTAGTCTCCTTACCAATATCAACTTAATTTGGTTGGGTACTTCTCTCTCCTTTTCCTTAATGGGCCTCAGTTGGCATTCCTCTACCTTGCATTCTGTGGTTCAGAATTCTCAATGAGGAGATTTAGGGGTGTAGGATTTCTATCCATTATGGAGTTGGAGATTTTAGTCCTCACCACATACGGTATTGAAGGGAGAGTGGGGGGGGGGACTCAAATCATATGTCCTCAGTACGGTGTTGGGCATGTTGAGGTATTTACTATGTGGTATCCAGAGAATGTGCTCAGTCTGCCCGGGAGCCGCAGCCATCTTTCGAGAGCCCCTTGGGCCGAGTGGCTGCTGGGCAGGTAGAACCAAGGTAGGTCACCCCCAACCCCTTCCTCTACCCCCCAGGACAGACTGGCTGCTCGGCTTTTTTGTGACGCCTCTGTTTACGTGTGGTTCTCAGCTTGATTTTGTTTTGTTTAACATTTTTTCTTACCTCTTATGTCCTTTCCTTTCTCTGATTTTCCACTCCGACCTCCTGTTTTTATTCTCAACCACAGGATCAGGTATGTGACGGGAAACTTGTTAGCAGTAGTGCTGGCTGGTGGTCGCTTCTCTTTGTCAAATTCCCTTTCCCCGCTTTGTCTCAAGGGCTGTCCTTTCTTACCTCTTGCTTATCCAGTCAGAAACCTGGGGAGAAAGGAGAAGGGCAGGGTCCAGTGTGGGTGCCCACTGACTGCAGTGACGTGGGGGTGATGAGAACTCACCTAGATTTTGCTGCCACTTCCAGATGTGGGTGCCTCATCTTTCAGTGTGAGGTGCTGGACAGTGACCGGAATGAGCAGCAGGTCACCAATTCCTCAAAGATGGAGACCTTAGGTCTTTAAGCTGAGCACTGCATGCCTTCAGACCTGCTTTTCATAACCCTGGAAATGCTGCTGCTGCATGGTGATTTAAAACCACATAGCAGGTCTCTTGGATCCAGGGAATTGGGACTCCAGGTTCTGGCTTCTGCCTTCTTTGGGTGCCTGGGGAATCATCATGCCTAGGCTGGGCCTGTATTGATTCTAGATGCCAGTTGTTCTTGTAACTGGGCCGATCACCCTCCTTTTGAAGAAATGGTTTCCAGGTGTGATGTTTCACTTTCTTATCTAAGAGTAGACTTTTACTGGCTAATGCCACCTAACCAGAGAATACTCTTCGTCTGAAAGAAGCACTGGGGGGACCTTTAACCTTTTATACCTCTAGGGATATGGTCACAGGAAGCATCTGTAGAAGTGGCTATATGTAGATGAGGGGCTCTTAACCCTCTCCCCTCATCTGGATGGGAAAGAATTACATCTTCATTTTCACTAACTTCTAATTGAAATTGATCATTTCCTTAAATTATGAATTTAAAACAAGGACAGCAACATTCTCAGAAGGGATCTGTAGGGAATCATCAGACAGCCCAAGGGTCCAAGACACAGAGAAGTTTAAGAACCCCCGAGTTGGGTTGCCAAGGGCATTTGAAGGCTAGGGAAAGACTCTTTTATGAAAATGACCCTGGAAGTTTGAGTTTGGGCTTCCCTTGGGCTCTGAACCATGGCTCAGGTCTTCCTGCTTTCAGTAGTTTTTTCACTAATTAGATACTCTGTCTTCTCATGTCACTTTTCAGATTCCTGTCTGGCTAAATAGACTTAAGGACAGATTTTAGTATCCTTATGGGGGAGGTATGATCATCCTTGAATATTTAGGAATCTGGCTACAAACCAAAGGCCTCCTCCCTGTTTTCAGTCTCCTTTTATGTCCAATAAAGCAAGGGGAGGGAAGGCGAGGCCTGTGGTATTTGTCCTTCTGAGAAATGTTCTAAGTGAAGTTCTGAGAGGATTGCTGGCTCTGTTGGGAACATCCACCTCTTGCACTAACATATTGACAGCTCGGTCTGGTTCTCTAGGTTTGCTGCTTAAATGGTACAAAGGAAGAGAACTCCTGAACAGATCTGGGGGACACTGGTTTTAATTTGTAGACTTGGGTAATTGTCAGCTTGGTGGCAAAGAGTTTTGGCATTTCCCTCTCATGCATTTTTAAAAATGGCAACACCTTCAAACAGCTTTCTGCTCTTTCAGATAAATTCCATTTTTTAAAAAAACTAGGCCCTGGGTCCATAAGGCCCTGGCCCATTTCACCAGCTAGATAGATTTCTGGACACTTAACTGGGCCATTGGGAGCTGTTGGAAAGCAAAGCTTCTCTTGTTATTAATTACTCACTTAGAGGAGTAACTGGTCCCTTGTCCCCATCCTCCTGAGGACAGAGATGACCTTTGGATGTGGCCCTCTGGTTGAGTCTGGTCCATTGGGTTAAGCAGTGACATCATTGGTCCTTCAGTAAAACAGGGACAAGAAGAAGCCCAGAATAGGACCCGTCTCCTCCACCGGTGTGTTGCCAGAGCAGCCCTTTGTCTCACCTCTTTGCCACCCCCAGTGCTTCCACCTTGGGTTGGTCCCCATTTGTGGGAGGCCTCCGGGTGGTGGTGTGTGTATGCTGGCCTTCTCTGGAGCTGACGCCCTCCTGTGCTTCTCTAAAGCAACCCAAGGAGATCTGTGGCTATGCTGGGTTCTGTGCAGGGAAGGAGATGCCTCTGCAGGCCCTGGTCCCGGCTCACGTGGCCGCCACCAACGTGATGATCACCCCTGCGCTGGAGCTGGTGGAGCCAGTCAAGGTAGGCTTGGGCCCGTCGGCCGCCAAGTCTTTCTGGGGCAGAGGGGACAGCGCAGACACCCAGAGGGCATGGGGGTAGTTGCGTCACGTCGTTCAAGCCAGCCAGCTAAGTAACTGAGCACATGAACCTTCGGGGGTTGGCTCCTTGGCGGTGAGTGTCCCGGCACAGGAACTGCACGCGTGTGGGGTGGTGTGTGCTCAGAGAACAGAGCTGGCCCCCTTGGCTGGGAACTTGCCTTCCCAAGGCTTGGGCTTCACGGTCTCAGTGCCTTTTTTTAGCTTCTGGCTCATTTTGCTGAAGGCCTTGTCATCCAAGTGAGGACTGGCTCCCTCTGGAGCTGAACAAGACGGTGAAAATTCCCTGAATCACACTCTGGGAAGTCGTAGGGTCATGGATGTAGCGCTGGAAAGGGCCTCAGAGGCCATCTGGTCTTTACAGATGAGGAAACTGAGGCCCGGTGAGGTTAAGTGACTTGCCAAAGGTCACACATATAGTGAGCACCAGAGGTGGGATTTGAACCCAGATCCTCTGACTCCATGAGTCAGTGCTCTTTGCACTGCCTCCACACAGAAGCACTATCAAGCTCTGATTGGTTTATTAGTTCTACTTTCTCCATGTTGCCTGATGGAGAGAAGCAGTGAGTAGAGTTTGTCCACATCCTACAGATGAGAACCCTGAGGTCCATGAAGCTTGGGTCATATGGTTAATAAGGTGTGTGTATTGGCACCAGCACCCAGGCCTTTGGGTCCCACACTAGGGCTCTCCTCCCTCTGAACCCCACAGCTTCCCTGTGAATTCAGAATCAGGAGACCTAGAGTCTGAATTCAGCATTTACCTATGGTGGGATCCTGAGTCCCCAGCTCCCTGTGCCTCTGTTTCCCCATGCCTGTGACAGGTACTCTAGGCACAGCCCTGACTCTGGAGCAGTGTGTGCTAGGTGCTGGAGAAGTGGGGCTATCTGGAGAAAGGTTCGCACCATCCCACTGACCTGGAGGGTCCCCATGTGTTCTTTATTTTTTTTGTTACTATTTAGGATAGGGCTTTTAATTTACAATCACTTCCTTATGATTTTGAGTTTAAAGTTTTTCTCCCCCTTCCTCCCCACCACCCTTCCCAAGATGGTGCACAATCTGATATAGCCTATACATATACATTCCTATGAAACATATTTTTACATTAGTGATGTTGTAAGTAAAAATTAGAACCAATAGGAGGAACCACCACAAAGAAGAAACAAAACTCAACAGAAGAGGAAAAAAAAATAGCAATTCAACTTCCATAGTTCTTTCTTTGGATGTGGATAGCATTTTGCATCATGAGACCCTTGGAGATGTCTCAGATCCTTGTGTTACTGAGAAGGGTTAAGTTTATCAATATTAGTCACTGCACAACGTGGCTATTACTGTATACAATGTTCTCCTGGTTCTGCTCACTTCACTCAGCATCAGACCATACAAGTCTTTCCAGGTTTTTCTGAAGTCAGCCTGTTCATCATTTCTTATAGCACAATAGTATTCCATTACATTCATATACAACAACTTGCTCAGCCATTCCCCAATTGATGGGCATCCTCTCAATTTCCAATTCTTTGCCACCACAAAAAGAGCTGCTGTGAATATTTTTGTACATGTGGGTCCTTTTCCCATTTGTATGATCTCTTTGGGATACAGCCCTAGAAGTGCTATTGCTGGGTCAAAGGGTATGCACATTTTTATAGCCCTTTGGGCATAGTTCCAAATTGCTCTCCAGAATGGTAGGATCATTTCACAACTCCACCAGCAATGCATTAGTGTTCCAATTTTCCCACATCTTCTCCAGCATTTATCGTTTTCCTGTTTTGTCATGTTGGCCAATCTGATAGGTACGTGTGTTCTCTCAACAGAAGAACTTGGTTCAGATGAAGGCTGGTCCTACTTGTGAGCTGTGCCAATATGTTATCAAAGAGATCATCAAATTGCTGGAGGGCAACAAGACGAAGGTGTGTGGGCTCAGTGGTCATCCCCTTCCCAGGATGTACCAACGTTTCTTGAGTCCCTCCAAGGGGCCGGGCACTGTGGGTCTGGGCCCCTTCTCTGTCCCCTTCAAGCCGGGTTGCTTCGGCGTGAGCATGAGATGGGCAAGCTGGGTTTGTCCTCTGCGGAGATTTTGGTATCAGTTTAATTGATAGGCCTTTGAAGACAGTGAGTGTCCTGCCTCCTGAGACCTAGGGGACCAGGAATGTTCCTGTCCTCTCTTTCCTTCTTTCTCCCTCCCCCCTATCTCTGCTCCCAGCAAAATCAGAACAGAAAACCCCAGCACCCAAAGTCCCACCGCCCACAGCACCAGAGCCTGACTCAGTCTAATGCCAGTCCTCACGTTCTAGGAGGATATGATTCATGCCGTCGAGAAAGTGTGCTCCGTGATCCCCAAGTCCATGGCCGAGGAGTGCCGAGACCTGATAGAGTCCTACGGCCCGGCCATTGTGGATCTGCTCCTGGATGAGACGAGCCCTCACTTGATTTGCAGCTTGCTTAAACTTTGCCAAAACAAAAAGTCAGGTAAGGAGGGAAGACCCTGGGGGACCATCAGCTCAGGGCTCAGGATGTCGTACGTGGCTGGTTATTGCACGCATCATGTTGCCTTTCATGTCCCTTCCTGTTCTGCAGCTAACATAGCCAGGCTTCAAAGTGGTGTCTTCTGTGACATGTGCAAAAAGATCGATGGGTATTTGGACCAGAACCTGGATAAGAACAGCACCAAGGCCATGATTCTCTCTGCCTTTGAGAAGGCTTGTAGCATGTTGCCAGGCGTTTACAAGGATGAGGTAATGCCAGGCATTAAGACTCCTGGAGTTAGAAAGGCCTGGACTCTCTGTGGGGCCCCAGAGTGCTGGCACTGATCATCTTCCTCCTGTCCTCATTAGAAAGAGGGTTTTGCTTTTCATCCTGAAGCCAGTGGTCTGAGGACTCATTCCTAAAGCTGGGCTAGCTGACAGGCCCAAGACAGGCCTCTGAATTGAGCAGGGAGAGCCCATGACTCTCCTGGGAGGGAGGTGTTGGGCTTGGGGAGGGCTGAGGTGGAGGGGTGTCTCAGAAGTGGCTGGGGCATGTTGGGGAGCTGGGCTGCTCTGTGGTTGGAGTACGCTGGCTCCTGGAGACTGCTGTGTGGCTCCAGCCCTCTTGGGTTGTCTGAGTGCTGTCCTTTGTTCTGCTGAACAGTGTGACGCGTTTGTGAAGGAGTATGAGCCGGTCCTGATCGCAGCCCTGCACGATGAGATGAACCCTGATTCTCTGTGTCTGGTAAGCATGGCAGTGTGGGTCTGTTCTTGGAGCCCACGGGCACCTCCTGGGAGCTGACAGTGTCGTAGGCTCTGAGACCCTTCTGGGAGGTGGGATCATCCCTGTGGTCTGTGGGCCCATCTCTGGGGTCTGGCCAGCATCCCTTCCCACCTCATGGAACCCAAGAGAGCCTGGCGCTTTGGTCTAAGGACCACCTCACTTTCCCTGGAACTCAGTCACTCCCTCACAAGTGGGAGGAAGGTGCAGAGGGAGGGCACCTGGGCCCATCTCATTCTGCTTTTTCACTTTCTTTTCTCCCCATATAGAAAGTTGGAGCTTGCCCCAAAGCTCCTGCTAAGCCTCTGTTGGGAAGGGAGCAGTGTGTCTGGGGCCCAAGCTACTGGTGTAAGAACATGGAGACAGCTGCTCAGTGCAATGTAAGTTCCTCCCACCGCCCATGCCAAGTCTACCTGCCACTTGGTATGTGCCCCATGCAGAGGGGAGAAGACTTTCTTTTGCCAAGAAGTTTCTTTTTGCTTTTTGGTGAGGCAGTCAGAGTTAAGTGACTTGCCCAGGGTCACACAGCTAGTAAGTGTCAAGTGTCTGAGGCCGGATTTGCACTCAGGTCTTCCTGCCTCCAAGGCTGGAGCTCTATCCACTGCGCCACAGCTGCCTCTTGCCAAGAAGTTTCTTGTGCTTCTTGTTCCTCTCAGTCCCTTTAGGGGCCCACCCTCTGTAAGTCAGCCTGCATTTATTAAGCACTTACTGTTGGCAGCGTCACCCATACCCTGAAGGCGACTGGTGGGGCTGGGAGCTGTCTTCTGTGTTACAGCTCCTGGTGTTGAGTCTTAGCTCTCAGTTTGGAAGGGGGGAGATAGTTTGGGATGACTGGCCTTGGAAGAACCTGATTTTTCTCTCTTTTCTCTCCTAGGCTGTTGAGCACTGCAAGCGCCACGTGTGGAATTAGAGAGCCCTTCTGTCTTGGAGACGTTGCAACTTCTTTCCTGTTTGTGTGTCTGGGGGAAGGGAACATACAGATCTGATTTTTTTTTTTCCCCTGTTTTTGAATGAGCCCACGTCCTCTTCTTCCTCCATCCCATCACTCTTGTGTTCCATTTGTCCCTCATTGCCATGGGTCTAAAAGGCACCATATTTGGCCACATTGCCATGCTCCCCACCCCCCTGCCCCTGCTAGATGAATGACGTGCCATGAATGCATCGTGGACCTGAGTATGGATGGGATGGTGGGAGCCTGTGGATGGAGATGGCAGCTTGGCCCGACCGCATCCTCAGACAACCACTGGTGGTCTCATCTGGTTTGCAACATCTGATTGGTTAGTTGTGTTTAGAACTGTCCTGGCCTGAGGCTGTCAGAGCCCCTCACCCTATTCCAGGATGGTCCTCTTGGCCTGTTGGCTGCCTTATTAGTGGCAGGAGAAAGGCGTGCAGGAATTCAGAGCCTTCTTGTTTTTTTTTGAACTAGTTTTCCCACAGTGTGGAAGAGCCCCAGTCTCCTCATTGGAAGAAGCTGCTTTTGACTGAGGAGGAGAGAGGTGAGGCTTTGATTTGCCCTAGCCAGATGGAGGCGGTCCAGCCTCAGTTTAGTTTCTTTGAAGACTCTTATCCTTAGGGTGTAGCTTGCTTCTGTTCTCTATTTCTTTGTGATACTTTTCTTGAACCTTCGCTTTTTGAAGTAGATTTGGGGAAGTTGGATAGGGCTGTAACGGGCTGTGTAAGGGTGGGCTGCTCTTTGGGGTGTGTCTGGGGGGTGGGGGGAGACATTTGGGACTTGTTTCTTCTGAGACCCCAAAGGGTGCAGTGACCATAGTGGTGCTTGCTTAGTACAAGGCCAAGGAGGCCAGAGATGAGCAGTTCTGAGGGGTCTTTGTGTCGGTGCTGTGTCTTAGCGTTGCGAGCACGCACATGCCGCTTGGGGTCCCTGCTAGAGTCCTTTCTTAGAGGTTATTTCTTAATTATTATATTTTTAAATTAACATGGGTGACAAAGTCCTGCTTTTCTTGCTTCCTAGTAGAAATGTGGCTGACCCACCTGAGTGCCAGTTTCTTCCTTGTTACCAAATGTAGGCTGGGCCTCAGTTTCTCCTCTTGTGACAGCAGCTTTTTCTCTACCTTATGTGTTCAGGGAGTCTAGATGTGTTGCTGTTGTTAAATGGACTAAATGTTGATGATTTTTGTTTTGTTCTGGTTTTGCCTTAAAGCTTTCTGTAATGAACAATAAAAGTTACAGTAAATTGAAGTCATAGTGCTCATTTGGTCATTACAGAGTTAGTCCCCAGAGTAAGGAATGACAAGTGGAAGAGAGAGAGAGAGAGAGAGAGAAAGAGAGAGAGAGAGAGAGAGAGAGAGAGAGAGTGTGTGTGTGTGTGTGTGTGAGAGAGAGAGAGTGTGTGTGTGTGTGTGTGTGTGTGTGTGTGTGTGTGTGTGTGTGT